AGGTGAAAAAATGAAAAAAAAATCGACACAACTTTTCGTATCGTTTCCCACAGACGGCGCCAAATGTTGATGCACAAAACCGAAGGTCTTAGTACAACGTAAATCCGACCGTGAATCTGCATGAAATGTAAATAACACAAGATGTATCGTGGTTCACCCCAAGGTTTGGGCTACGTCCACACTGATTATGTATTTATCTGAATGAGAGAGAGCTCTAAGAGTGAGAGCTTTGAGAGAGGATGAGAGGGCCTAGGAATTGGCCTCTTCTAATTGTGAGGGTAAGGGGTCCTTTTATAGAATAAAGACTTCTCACTTATTACATATTTGACCTTCCTTTATCACATAATTACATTTAAGTCTCCCGAGTATTTGTACGAGATCTAAATACGAGGCCCTAAATATGGTATAAACAGTAGTCTCCCAAGTCTTCAGTCAAAAGAGTATTTTAGCTGGAGACTTGAAATTCAGTCCATGTGTGGGCCAAAGTAACTAGATGTTGTCTTGAACTGATGCTCGATATGAGGCGATGCTCAATTTGAAATGATGCTCAACTAGAAGTAGCACATGCTGCGAGGCTGCGAGGCTCGTGGCTTATGTTGCCTTGGTTGGCTCGGCTTGTGACGTTGAAGGTAAGGGAATCCCTTTTATAAAATAAGGGCTCGCTCCTTAATACATGAACGATGGGTTAGAGTTGATACTCTCTAATGATGGTGAGGGAGTCCCTTTTATAGAATAAGGGCTCACTCCTCAATACATAAATATGGGCTAGAGTTGATGCTCTCTAATAGTGGTGAGGGAGTCCCTTTATAGAATAAGGGCTCGCTCCTCAATACATAAATATGAGCTAGAGTTGATGCTCTCTAATGGTGGTGAGGGAGTCCCTTTTATAGAATAATGGATCGCTCCTCAATACATGAATGATGGGCTAGAGTCCCCCAAGTATTTTTCATGAGGCCCAGTGGAGGCCCAATATATGGTATATAATGTAGTCTCCCAAGTTTTCGGTCAATAGAGTGTTGGCTGGAAACTTCAAATTGAATCCATGTATGGGCCGAAATGGCGGTTGTTCGGAGGTGGTATTTGTATACCCTGCACTGAAGCTTTGTAGGTAAAGCTTTGCAAGTGAAGCTTTGAAGCTAGAGCTCTGTAAATGAAGCTTTTGAAGCTAGAGCTTTGTAAATGAAGCTTTTGAAGCTAGAGCTCTCTAAATAAAGCTTTTGAAGCTAGAACTTTTGTAAATGAAGATTTTGAAGCTGATTGACATGAGTGATGCTCATGGATGTTGACATGAGTGATGCTCATGAATGTTGACATGAGTGATGCTCATGAATGTTTATGTATAAATGACATGAGTAATGCTCATGTATAATTTGGAGTACTGGGCGTACTTTTGATCACCTGGTTGGTGGCATGAAGGAGAGTACGGGTTGTACATTTCATCACCTGGTTGGTGGCATGAATGGCTAGTTGCCAAATGATATTAGAGTACGGGTTGTATATTTCATCACCTGGTTAGTGGTAATAGCGGCGGGTTGCTGAATAATTTTGGAGTACTGAGCGTACTTTTGATCACCTAGTTGGTGGTAATAGCGGCGGGTTGCCGAATAATTTTGGAGTACTGGGCGTACTTTTGATCACCTGGTTGGTGGTAATAGCGGCGGGTTGCCGAATAATTTTGGAGTACTGGGTGTACTTTTAATCACCTGGTTGGCGATAATAGCGGCGGAGTGCCGAATAATTTTTTGTAGTACTTAGCGTACGTTTGGTCACCTGGTTGGTGATATTTTGGGCTTATAGGCCTTCGCCCTCCACACAACATTCCAGCCAATTTATTTTGGGCTTGCCGTTTTTTTTTACCCTCTGATGGGGTTTATACAGATGTCTCCGAAAAATAAGAAAAATAAATTACATCATTCAAAACAAAGGTTTTGACAGTTGCAGATCGTTGGTGCGTACTGCACCTACTGCGTACTGGGTTATTGCAGATCTTTTTCCATGTGCATATTCCAGTGGCTTCTTCAGAAAAGTGGGAACATGCATGATGAAAGTTTTATTTTTCAAAAGTTGATGGCATCTTCTGATGGCTTGCCTTTACCGCACCCATTTTTTCCGGGAAGTTCATCCATAAACCTGTGCAGCCTAGTCATGATATCTCTTTATCCTCCTCATTTTTCTTTTTCTATTCTTTTCCTCCCCTTTTCTTTTTCTAACATTATGATTGATTCCAACCCATAGGCTTGCCAGGCGACAGTGAGCACAATCATAACCGAAAACAGCCACTGAATGACACTATTCTGTCTCTATACCTTTTTCTTTTCATTTCTTCCCTTTTCCCTTTTCTGAAATATTCTCTCAACAACTAGTACATCATACATTTAGCCCATCTTCCTTTTTCTTTTTCTAACATCATGATTGATTCCAAACTTTCAATTCTTTTCCAATGGATTGTTGTCGGAGACGACACATTTCCAAGCAATTTCTCATCGCCCTCACAGCAATGGATGAACCTCTACTTTCATCAGGGAGAAGCAGCAAATTGGGAGAGAAGGGGAGTGAGAAATGGAGCTCGTACGAGTACGTGGGAAGAGCTGGGTCGGTGATTCCGATAGCGGCGCTAGTTGGGACTGATGATTCTGATCGAGAGGCGGCTGCTGATTGCTACCCGTCTTCTATCCATGTTGGTCTGGTTAGTGGTATGAACACTGCGAGTTTCCGCCTTCATCAATACGTCCTTCAGATTGGGGGGGCGAGGTGATGCGAGCCTCTATCAACGAACGCGACCCATGATTCACAAAAGTTGAAATGGGGTCTCGACCCATGAGCAGGTAATAAGGTCTTAACCCAGAAGCTGAAATGGGGTCTCGACCCAGGAGCAACAATCAGAAATATGGTCAACCCCAATTATCTTACATATGGTCCAAAAACGATCCTCCCCTGAAGGAAAAAAATATATATATTGCTGCCCTTCCAATTCTGGTGTGCTCGATCTCCCACTGCTCCGGTTCAAACCACTGGGTTCATCATCCTTGACTTCCCACTGGGTGTAATCAGGGGTTAGGTGCAAGGACAACAGCTGGATGCGACGGCTGACGGCTTGGGATTCGTCCTCCACCGTTGGATCTGGGCTTTGCCTCTTCTTTTGATTGATCTCGTAGACACAGATTAGGAAGAGGTTAGGTGGTTTCATGGGGAAGAAAGATTTGAACAATTGGAATTGGGATGATCTTCTGGTTAGACTGTTTTTTGTACGGACGCGACCCATGATGGTGGATTTGCGCGGAAGAGATGGCAGGCGACGGCGTTGGTATATGCGTCTATGCATGATGAGAGGGTTCATCATCCTTGATTGGGAATGGTGTGATGACGAGCTTGTTGTCAGTTTTGGACCCCGAATGAAAGTCGGAGCTTCAAGACGAAATCTGCGTCTTTATCCACTAAAACACTTGTACCCATCTGGCGACGCTGTCTGTGCCACCTCGTCGTTGAGTGGAAGCGGGAAGGTATGCACTTGTTGTGCTCTTCACCGGGAAGAGGTCGTTTTGGGCTCTGATTCGAGGGCCGTAAGCGCGCTGCACTTTGAACGGCGAGACGGAGAAGACGACGACGACGGCCGTACTAGAACGGCAGACGGGCGTGTCGATGATTGAGCAACTGGTTCCGGAGATTACAACGCATGCCCTTAGCTATCTGGACTACCCGAGCCTATATAAGCTTTCGATGACCAATTCGCTTACGTGGAAGGTCGCCAATGACGATAATGCTTGGATGGCACTTTACCATAAAGTATGTGATTACTGAATTTGAATTGCATTTGAAGTATTTGAATTTGGGTGTTTGTTGGATTTTGATTTTTGGTTTTTGCAGATTCACGGTGGAGGTGAAAAAATGAAAGGAAACTGACACAACTTTTCGTATCGTTTCCCACAGATGGCGCCAAATGTTGATGCACAAAACCAGAGGTCTTGGAACAACGTAAATCCGACCGTGAATCTGCATGAAATGTAAATAACACAAGATGTATCGTGGTTCATCCCAAGGTTTGGGCTACGTCCACAGTGATTATGTATTTATTTGAGGGGTGAGGGAGAGAACCTCTGAATATGAAAGGGGATGTGAGAGAGGTGAGAAGGCTTCAGAAATGGTCTCCCCTAATTGTGAGGGTGAGGGGTCCTTTTATAGAATAAGGACTCCTCACTCATTACATATTTGCCCCTTGCTTAATCACATAATTACATTTAAGTCCCCCGAGTATTTGTACGAGATCTAAATACGAGACCCTAAATATGGTATAAACAAAAGTCGTATAATGGAATTTCCTTGTTTGTCTTGCGCAATTGAAAAAGGATAAGGAATTTGGTTGTAAAAAATTTAAAATTATAATTGCGGTCAATTTTCGTTGTTGATATTCAATTTCAACAAAGGCGCGACTGAATGACTTGAATAACCTCAAAAGAAAAAAAAGGAAGAACATGTAACAATTTTGACACAACCTAACCCAAATTACACGCATACATTTGCGTGAAAAGTTAAGCAAATCTCAACACTTGAGCGACTGAGTACTTAAGGCTGAATTAACTCTAACAAGGAAGTAAATAAGGATAAAAGAAAAATATAAGGACAAACATGATATATTTAGGAAATGGTTGAGAACCCCTGTATGTAGATAAATGTGCAAACTATTCCAAAAAAAAAAGAAAGATTTTTGTTCAAATTAGTAGATAATGCTCCTTAACAAAAAAAAAAAGTAGATAATGTCCTAATTAAATTTGAATTAATTGGGCCCGGTTTTATTACAATTCAACAGGCCTTTTTAGGCCCAAATGAAGAGTAGAAACTCCTAACAAAACTACAACTAGTCCGACCCAACCATCCAAAAAACCTCGTTCTACTCGGACTTGGAAACGAATATCACCAATGGCTTAGAAGAAATTTTACAGAAACGCGAGTACATTCCCGTAATTTCCCAGTTGCCCACCATCCTGCCATCTCCGTGTTCTTCCCAAACCCTCGCCTCACCTATATATATCGGTTACCAGGGAATTCTCAAACCCTCACTCCTTTGCTGCGTCGCTCTCTGCGCTCCTCCCAAATCCTAATCTTTGTTGTTGGAGCGATCCGAGCCGCAATTATGTTGGTTTACCAAGACCTCCTCACCGGTAAAAGTTTTTTCCCTAATCTTGTCCCGCTTATGTTCAAATTAGGGTTTCGATTCGTTAGTTCTAATCTATGTGAAAAAAAAAATCGAATTGGATCTCGGTTTAATCTCCAAATTTTAGGTTATGGTACGGATCGGGCGCCAAATTGTTGCTTTCCCGCCGTGTAAATTGTTTTGCAGATCCTTCGATTTATTGCTGCGCTAATTGTTTTGATTTATTTAGTGGTGATTGTGTGCATGTAATTTGTTTGTGGGTGCTTTTGCATGTTGTTTATAATTTATGAAGCCACTGGATTTCATCTGAATGATTACAAAAAATCTAATTTATATTGTGATTTATGGTTATCGAACTCTTTCTGTATTTATTTTATGTAATTTGGTACTGGGTACGCATATTAATTATATTGTGCGAAGCTTTGGAATTTTATGTTAGACTTGCTAATTTATAATTTTGATATGTTGTTGGAATGGTCGTGTAATTAGAAAATATTGGGATTGGATATATCTTTGGATATGGTGGATATTGTGACGCAATTTTTAAACTTATTGTGTAAACTACTTGAACAGTTGTACTTTGTAAAGTTTATAGATTTGTTTATGATGTCTGCTGGATCTTTTTTTTCTTTTTTTGTTATATGATGTTCTTTTTTTCTTTAACTAATATATTTAGTTGAAGTTCTTTTATCAAGTTGTTGACCAAATTCATGCTTCTATTATAGGCGATGAGCTTCTCTCGGACTCGTTTCCATACAGGGAAATCCACAATGGAGTGCTCTGGGAGGTTGATGGCAAGGTGAGTTGGTTGATTCTTTGGTTTTATTTATTTTCGTTCCCCTCTTGTTGAACTGTCTTTGTAATTTTATTATTAGTTTAACCACTCATTAGAAATATTTAGCTGTGTTTGCAATGTAATTTGAAGGTTGAATGTATAAGTTTAAGCTTTTTCCTGATGGGTGTAGTCAAGGTGGTTGTTATTGAACTTTGTGGTTATAGGTTTATTCTGATATGGATCACCTGTATAAGGTTAATATGTTGATTGTTATGAATTGCGTAGTTGATTTACTGTAAGTTGTTTGAATGATTTTTGGTTTGCAGTGGGTTGTTCAAGGAGCTGTTGATGTAGACATTGGTGCAAATCCATCTGCTGAAGGTGGAGGTGAGGATGAGGGTGTTGATGATCAAGCCGTCAAGGTTGTTGACATTGTTGACACATTTAGACTTCAGGTATGTGGTGCTTACTGTACTGTTGCTCTCCAAGGTTCTTTGTGAGTAGAAATTGATTGTTATTGTCTGATGCTTGCAGGAGCAACCTCCATACGACAAAAAGCAGTTTGTCACATGGGTGAAGAGGTATATCAAACTGTTGACACCCAAGTTGGAGGGGGAGGGCCAAGAGGTGTTCAAGAAGAACATTGAGGCAGCAACCAAGTTTCTGCTTGGGAAGCTCAGCGACCTCCAATTGTAAGTTTTGTTGATACTGCGCCCATGGTGATTGATTGTTCCGTAATCATAAACTAATGTCATGATCCTATCAGTTGGGGTTCACTCGTTTCTATGTTACTCAAATGATATTAACATTGAATCGGATGTTGTTTGCAGCTTTGTTGGGGAGCATGCATGATGATGGCGGTTTGGTCTTTGCGTACTACAAGGAGGGCGCGACCGACCCAACATTTATCTACTTTGGTCATGGGTTGAAGGAGGTCAAGTGCTAAGCAATTGGCCGAGAGAGCTCCAAGCAGAATGCATGTTGTAATCCTAGTCTATATTATTGCTTTCTTTACTTTTTATGTTTAAAATTGGGGGATGAGGAGTCTATTTTTGCTTTGTTTCGTTAGAATATTGGCTTTATGCCTATCTTGGTTTTAATGGCTTTTCAACTTGGATTTCTAATTTATGTGGTTCTAAATTTTGATTGCGAAATAACATTGTGTTCTACATTTTACCACCTGCAAGTCACTTGCTTTCGTACGCCGTCAAACGGTTGAAGGTGTGAATTGTTGGAACTGGTAATAGTTCTAGTTCATCTTTCAATTTCACCATCAAATCTTTATATGTCCCCTTTTCTTCACGCATTTTCCGGAGGTCTGGAGAGAGCCGCAATCATTAGGATTTTTCTAATCTTCTTGTGAAATTTCATTTTTCCGCGGGAACCACAAGATTCGATTTAGCTGTAAGAAGAATGCTCGGCGAATGGATGAGTACTGAGTTTCTTTGTCCTTGTCAAACCTGGGATTTTACTGTAATTTGAATGCCTCCGGTAGTTTGGAATATTCCGAGGATAATCGGTCCTTGTTTACAAATAGACCATCTGACTTTGGACTGAGAAACTTTAGCATTATGGTTAATAATATGAAGTTTTAACAAAACACTTCCGTATTGTTCGCTTTTAACGAAAAATCACATTTTTACCTTTTCCTAATACTATTCACTACACTTTTATTTGTCATTTTTCCATTAAAACTGAAGTTTTTTTTAGACTTTTCGTTAGTTTTCCTTTAATAATAATATTCATCTCCATTAAGAATGAACATGAATCCTTTCCGGACCCCAATATCCTAAACCTAAGAATCAAATCATCCGGGTTGTTGAAATTTGATTCAACGGCTACAAACAGGGGATTCCTCTAAAGTTATAATAATTGTAGCCATTAGATCAAATTTTAACGGTCTGGATTAAATGATCCCTAGGCTTAGGATATTGAGATCCAGTGAGGATCCGGGTTCATTAGGAATTTATAGATTTTATGTTCGACTCTCATGGAAAATTCCCACTATCGTTACCTAGTGATATTCTTATTTACTATTGAGTAAAAAAATCTTAAGTTTGAATGTCGTAAATGACAAGTTCGTAATCAATTTATTCTCTCCACCTCTTAGTGTAAATACTAAATATATTTTTGTATTTTTGCATTTATTTGTTTTGCTTAATGTTGCCTCAGAGGGATGTGCTTAGATCTATTTGTTAAAACTTAAATCCGTTTGAGAACCGTAGTAGCATGAAATTATGAACAAGGTGCCATGTTTTAGTCGGTCAATTTTCGATGGTTGGATCACAGAAGTTGATATAGATTGGGAAAGAAAATCGTATATACAAAATTCAATAGTAGCCAAATAGTATAGTGCTTGACAGGTCTCTCTCTTCACCATCATCAGGGAAACAGTTTGCATGGTGAGTACAATAGTTGCTTATACTTTTCAAAACCGTCCTGCAAATACATATTTAAATTGTGTCACATATTAACTAACACATTTTTTATACGAGATTCGAGGAGTGTTAAGATCAGTCACGCACACGAAGGTGAGTTGATTACGACCATTTTAGTTTTGTGGACTCTACAAAACATGAATGACTATATTAGCTCATTGACACGTGTATAATTGATCATAACATTTCCTAGAACCTGCATTAATTAGATTCAATTTTGCTAATTAATTATATCCTCGCTAATTAGTTTTGAATAACAAACAACAAGAAGAAGCTTAACTAATTGATGTAGGTTTAGGAGGTGGTGTTTGAGGTTAATTTAGTTGGAGTGCTTGGGGTGGTAACGGTTGGAGAGGATAGTAGCGTGCTAGTGCTTAATGCCGGTCGTATATATGCAATGGATGCAGTCGAGTCAAGTGGTAATATTATTCGGAGTAAGATTCATTCCCTTCTTTTTTTACTTCCTCTTCCTTCTTCTCCTATTTGAACGGTCACGGTTAAGCCACGTTAACATCTTATATTAATTTTTTATAAAAAGAGAAAGACAAAATAGAGAATGTGAAAGGAGGGGATAGAAAGAGGAGGGGAGAGAATCATAGTCCATATTATTCATCCTACATTTTTGGCAGCTGCTTGGGTTTTAAAATTAAAAGATGACGCCTAGACCTGCTTTGTCACCCCTAGCCCATCTAGGCGCGTAGGAGCTAGGGTCAAACCCGCTGCCTGACTAGCACCTAGTGTCTTTTAGAACTTTGAACGTTGACTAGCTTTGTCCAACTCCATTTACATGCACATCAACTAAACTTATCCAAAAACTCAAATGAAAGTTTTATAGCTCAAGCTGTTAAAAATATTTATCTACGTAGTTAAAGGTCTTAAGCTCAACTTGCTCCTCCCTATCACCGCTTACACAAAAAGAAATCAAATAAAAATAACAAGAAAATGTATTTTTCTGCTCAGCTTTCTGTAGGTAGCAACTTGAGACTTCAAATCAAAAGTGTTAGCTGATGTCGATTTATAAACTTATAGAACACACTCACTCATTTAGGATATCTTTCAACCACATTTTATATGTGGGATTCAGCTTTCAAGGTTACAAAATATAGATTGTTTGAGAACATCCGTTCGGATACTGAATTAGATGCTCAATAGGTACATGCAGTGGCAGATTTGAGGTATCGTTTGGTATGCAGACGGGACGGGATAGGACGGGACGGAACGGAGAGAGAGCAAAAATGCCCTTAGATGGAAACAAGGAGGAAGAAGAAGGAGACGGAGAGGTTATAATTTTGTGTTCCACGAATGTGGAACGAATCGTTCCAGGGGGTGAGGCGGAACGAAAATTCACCCAAAATTCGTCCAGTGAAACAGTGCATTCCACTCGTTTAGGCGCACCAAACGTGGGACGGAACGCCTCATCCCACTCTGTTCCGTCCCGTCCCACGTACCAAACGGTATTCCAATCTTAAGGGATCACAGTGTTAGAGGTTCAAGTTTTTAGATAGAAAAAGTGTGAAGCGTGCAAAAAAAAAGAAAAAAAAATCAGTTTATTCAATGAGGAATTTCTTCGAACACTTGATGAGCTTGTTGTTGTTAGCCGAACCAAAAACAATCTTATGAGTGTTCTTGAGAGAATTTGAAGAGTGTTGTTGACGCAACATGCGGGAGACATTTCGTCAAACATTTGGTTTGCACAAAAAAGACTCGGTACCATACATTCGGAAGATCCTTAGAAGACCTTCATATGTATATTTCTCAGACTCCGACTAGTCTTAAGACGACTTAGGTCCCAATATACATCTGTCACTGGATACGTGAGGCCATGTTCATGTTTGGTAAAACTAGTTGTGGGATTTATGAAACCTGCTACATATCAGAGCCACGAAGGAGGAAGCTCAAACCCTTGGACACCCTAGATTTGGTTTGGGGAAAAATGAGCTTGGGAGCGATAAATTGTTGTATTTTCGTGTTTGGGAAATTATTTTTTTTATGCACGAGAAAATAGAGAGAAAGTGAATTTCTCCATCAACTTGATTCTTATTTTGAAAAACTAAAACAAACATTAAAAAAGAAGTGACATTTGCTGATGATGGCTTGCTTTTTATTTACAGCACTTAATTCACCTGTAATGTAGTTGAATTATTTATTTATAATATATATATATATATATATATATATATCACCTTCCTTTGAGGGGTCTACAGGAGCCAATATTATGAAATTTGATTACCAAAATAAAGGACGGTGGGGGAGCTATTAGCCTAATTTGATGTGGAAATTAATTAATGTTTAATTAAACTTTAATTGAAATGAAAAGACTCCATCTTATCTCAACCTAATCACATGCTTTAAGTTAAAGCGATCGTTGTTCCCCAAAAAAAAAGTGTACGAGAAGGATGATAGGTTGAGATATATATCAAGGGTGATAGGGGGGTGATAGGGATCAGCTTAGAGAAAAATTAGACGAAACTAATTAAATTCAATGTTAAATGATGTGTCATATTTTAGGTTGGTTAGATTATTAGGAAACTAATGAAAATGGCTTGAAAACTTTGAGTTTTAATGATAAGGACAAAATAAAGGGTAAAGTGAATAGTATCAGGATTGACTTTTTAATGTAAAAATGTGGTTTTTCGTTAAATTGAACAGTACCGGGAGCTTTTCGTTAAAGTTCCCTAGATTATTATTATGTTAGTCTAGATATAGCGAAATGCGGTATATGTATAATCTCTAAATATAGAGACTCGGATCCCATTAGCATATATGACTGTAGACCCAATTTACCAGAAAAATTAAATTAATTAATTAATTAAAGACCAAAAGTAAAGATTGAGAATTTTATTTTTTTTTTTAACAAATGATATTATTTACAGTAAGGGATGGGAGGTGGGCGGGCTAAGTCTCCCAATGTGTATGTAATAATGTGGTTAAAATCCATTTTTAGCGAGAATCGAACTTAAGACCTCTCACTTACAAGTAAAAGAAATATCACTAGATTATAGTATTAAATGATTAAAAGTGTGTTACAAGTAAAAAATTGGGAATTAGATATCAAATCATTCGATTCATTCCTATGTTAATTAAAGTTTATATGGAGAGAAAAGTGTGTTTGATGACGTGTATGTTTCGTGGCCTTTTCGATTCCAAGAGGGCATGATGAGGACGATAATGGACGATATAGTGTATAGTATTTCGATTATGTTATTGCGTACAGAACAATCTCATGTTTTACTCATTAATTAATGGATGTCTTACTCTTCCGATTTATATAGTAATTATATCGAGTTTATATTCATCCGGTCTAATATATTGTATTCGTATTGAAATACACATTTTTACCAACGAGTCTTTAGTACATTAGTAGTTGTCTTTTACTTGATTAGAGGAAGCCGCATGTCGAACTTATAAGAATATGAAAAAGATACATATTGTTTTGTTATGACGATGTTTGTGGAGATCTGGAGTGAGTTAACCCCCATCGAAAGATTAAGAAATCTTACAAGGGTACTTAGAAAACTAGTTTACACCTAGTCAATAAGCTTTAGATTGAAACTTCAGCTTTCTTAACAGTATTAGCAACTCGTGTTCCACATCATCCAATATATCCACATTCTCATTGAAGTTGGTTATTGGATTACCACCTCGACTCCAAATTCCTTGAGAATGAGAAATTGAATTTCTAATTTGGTGTAGACCTTACTTCTCTTTTGATTCCTCTATAGTTAACGAACACATGAATAA